AAGAAATTGTTCCTTATATTAAACAAATACAATCTGCTTTAATATTTTTTTGAAATACGAAACGGTTTCGGCATGATCCTTATGTTTAGAAGTTTGGCGGCACAATGAGATTCATATCACTTAAGTTAATTACTAGTTTGCATGAAAAACAACTCTTTAAAGTATCAATTATCAATCTTAACAATTATGTTCATCATACATCGCACGTTAAATAAATAGATTGCAATTGCATACGAAATGCATGGATCACGGAAATCGAGCAGCGGAAAAGCACTTTAAAATCAAAGAAAGCTGTGTTCGCAATGGCGATCAAAAAGAGAAAAGTCTGTCTTTTTTTCTTCGAAAACGTTCCTAAAACTCGGGGTGCGGCTTATCTACGAGAGCGGCTTATACATRGGTAAATACGGTATTTTATTAATTTCACGTCTTGTCGCTTAACACTCCTTAATAGACGAGATTATTGGTCCCTTTTAGGGCTGAAATTTYAGCACTGCCACGCCCATCATTTCCAAATACAGGTCCCTCTACAGGGGTCATTTTCATAATTTCCGCCRAGGACCACCGCCCTTTGATATTTTTGTCCATGAACAAGAATAAACAAGGAGTCTCCTAAAGCCTGTGGTTCTGCTTGAGAAGGAGAATATGTAAGCAAAGTCTGAAATTGATTTTCTGAGTTTTATTCTCCTCAAGCACTATAGCTATRTAACACTTCTATTTTATGTATTTCATAGTGCCGCACAGAACAACATTACTCTGATTTAAACAAGCACTTTTGTACTAACCAGTCTGCAGTTTCCCATTTGCAGCATCAAATACAGCAGAAGCATCGTAAGCCTGTAAAAGGATTGTAAATTAAAAAGCCAGGAGAAGACAGCAATATTGAGACAAATGAATGAGTATACAGACATTGCTGACATGATATACCGTATTTACCCAATATGTATAAACCGCACTTTTTTTCCAAAAAAATCGTTCCCAAATCGGGGRTGCGGCTTATCTACGAGAAGACTTGCAAAAACGCCCAATAAAAACTTATTTGTATAAATTAGCATTCATGTTGCTACTTTCTGCAGACAGGACATAAGGAATGTGATAAGTTTGTTTTACATGGCGGGAACAGAGAAATTTTAATCCAAACTTCTCAGTATTACTATAAATTTTCCGAAAATCTAGCTCTGAGAAACACAAGTCAATAAATCAAACTGAAAAGTGCGTGGTTATTGAGCAAATGCACAGAGAGCATTTTCAATCGTTCGTCTTGGAGTTGTTTTGGTAACGCAATGTATTGTTCATTTAAGCGACTTTGTCACACTTAAAGTGAAGAATCCAGGGTAAATATCTTGAATACCCAAGAAATAAGCCAAAGAAATTGTTCTTATATTAAACAAATACAATCTGCTTTATTTTTTTTGGAAATACGAAACGGTTTCGGCATGATCCTTATGTTTAGAAGTTTGGCGGCACAATGAGATTCATATCACTTAAGTTAATTACTAGTTTGCATGAAAAACAACTCTTTAAAGTATCAATTATCAATCTTAACAATTATGTCTCCAAGATCAAATTCATCACACACCGCACGTTAAATAAACAGATTGCAATTGCATACGAAATGCATGGATCACAGAAATCGAGCAGCGGAAAAGCACTATTTTTTTTGAAATACGAAACGGTTTCGGCATGATCCTTATGTTTAGAAGTTTGGCGGCACAATGAGATTYATATCACTTAAGTTAATTACTAGTTTGCATGAAAAACAACTCTTTAAAGTATCAATTATCAATCTTAACAATTATGTCTCCAAGATCAAATTCATCACACACCGCACGTTAAATAAACAGATTGCAATTGCATACGAAATGCATGGATCACAGAAATCGAGCAGCGGAAAAGCACTATTTTTTTTGAAATACGAAACGGTTTCAGCATGATCCTTATGTTTAGAAGTTTGGCGGCACGATGAGATTTATATTACTCAAGTTGATTACTAGTTTGCTTTTACCTTTTGCATATGAAATGCATGGATCACGGAAATCGAGCACTGCGGAAAAGCACTTTAAAATCAAAGAAAGCTGTGTTCGCAAGTGGCAATCAAAAAGAGAAAAGTACGTCTTTTTTCCCCCTCGAAAACGTTCCTAAAACTCRGGGTGCGGCTTATCTACGAGAGCGCCTTATACATGGGTRAATACGGTATTTCTTAACCAATAAAAGTTACATGTATACTCTGTCATACAATTTGGCAATAACAATTTTAGAATAAGGGGTTACCTTGGGATTTGTATGTTTAACAATAGGGAACAAATTCATTATGTCCTCCTCTTTAAAAGTGGGATGCTTTGTACTATTAAAGTCATATTCACGAAGAAGAATTTGTACCCCTAAAAAGAAAACAATTGATATGTTATTAGATAAGCTTTGACTAACAACTTTTGGATTGTCCAAGAATTGCAGTCATCATTGCCAAAGCATGTTTGGAAGTAGGTAGTAAGTGCAGTTAATTCATTTAATAGATGCTCTTGCATCGCTTTCTTTGCCTGTATCATAGAGTGGGCATTACATGATGTCGTATTTTGTGCATGGGAATGAGGTCAGCTACAGTGTTTTATTGAAGTTGAGCCAAACKGTATAATTTTAAGATTGCAACATTCACTATTCTTCAATTAGGATTGCTGGCTTTTGCATTTTTTTGTGTAATTGGAKTCTTTGCCATGTCATACAACCCTCTTGATGTCACATGGCATCAAATTGAATAGAATAGGGTTTAGTGGCACTTCTCAGTTGAAACCCATGTACATACCAGTTTTAATGCACAAAGACCTCAATAATGAAATTTTCTGAATGCCATATCTTGCCACAGCGGCATCACAATTGTCACTAAAATAAAACAATAATAATTCTCAGCTTCTTGAGCACATGCCATTGATAAAGAAGATGAAGTTGTCCCCAAAAATACATAGGACTAAAGCATTTATTATGTTTGTAATTTTGGAATTGATTATAGCAAAACCCTGAAAGTTTTTATTTTAATCCCAAATGCGGTGTTTTTGTGTGTGTGAAACATTGAGTAATGATAAGATAATTGATTGACAGGTAATGTGAAGTACAACATAGCATTCATTTGAATGCTTTTCATATACAATATATATCTACTTAGGGTTAGGATAAAGACAGATAATATATTAGAATTAAATTAAAAGTAATCGATTGAGGTCTTGCTATACTGTATAAGAGTGTATTTATTGAGTCAGAGCTTTTGCCGACACACTTTAAAACTAGAGTAATGTCTAAATCAGCATGCAAAATGTAGAGGAAATTAGTCAAATTAGTCAAAGTTCTGCAAACAAATCTATTTTGTTCAATTCAATTTCAATTTCAATGAAATTGTATTATATAAACAAGGGAAATTAGAGAAAAATAAATACTGTTAGAGGAAGAGTGAAAGTGAATGTTGGCCAAAGGAGCGATAGCTTTCGAGTTGGCCAACATAATGATTGAAATAGTTAGGTTCATTAATAAATAAGTATAATAGTACGCTATTAGAAGAATTATTAAGTGGAAAATCTCTGAAAAACTAGAAGAAAAATAATAATAATAATAAATCATTTAACATATTATAGTAGTATTAAATAATGTCTATATAATAGAAATATAAAGTGAGAAAAAAAACTTTGAGAATTGGAAATAGGAATTATATGAATTTTCCATGATATACCGTCGAATAAGACAAAATAGACCTGTCGCATATCGTGAAAAATTTAACTWATCAAAGAAAGTTATTCTTGGGTAGATACAAGTAGATCTTTGTAAAGCCGTTTGAAGGAGTTAAATGGTTTAGATTTTATATCAATTGGATTTTTTTCCCATATTTGCGTGATTGAGAAGCTGAAAATAAATTTCCCATAATTCGTTCGTATACGTGGTCTATGAAAGATTTTTTTGAGTATCTTGTATAAAATTATAGGTGTGTAACTTAATTGCTGGTGTCAAAGACAGAATGTCACAGTTATCATTAGAATTATTATGTAAATATTTATGAGTAAGCGTTGCCGCTTTCATTTTAACTACATTTGTGATCCTTAGAATGCCCAGTAATTTGTAGTATACACTCGGGTTCTCACGCTTGTTAGCAAAAAACATACACCTAATACAGTGATTGATTTTTGTGTTGAAATCTACTTTAAGTTATAAAACATGAAGTTGAGGTTTAATGGGATCAAAATGGTGAATTTCAAAGGCCTTGGGAAAGGAAATCTTCAAATATACAATGGAATAACTATCAGTTAGCCCTTTATATCGCTTGATGTTAAGTTTATGATGTTATGTGACAAAATATCCTGTTTTGCTTTGATAATGTGACTATTTAGTCGTGAAGATGATAGTAATGATTCTACTGATAGTAATTATATCACCTTTCGGATGTTAGGTACTATAACGATAGTGTAAAAAATACATCCTCTGCATAAATTTTTGCCAAAGTTATAGATACACACWTTTAATATGCTCAGCCTAATTTAAAAAAAAATGACGAAAATAGTATCAGGCGGAACCTTAATTGGTATGAAGTCATTCTGTCCCTCTCTTACGACTATAATCCTTAGTGTTAAAACAAGAATGTTTTGGTATGACATACAGTTATTATGCCATAGGCCTATTCTCATAATTTTCAGAAATTTGTTTTATAGCTGAGGGATATTATGCAGAAAAGCATTATAACTGTCATATTATATGTTGTAAATGTTGCTATGTTTTCTATTAAGACCACAATTAGTAATGTCATTAATGTCATTTGATATCAAAACATTCTTTTTCTTTTTCAACCTTGGACCAGTGTATTTAGGGGATTTGAGAAACCAAGTACTATTCTAAGCATGTTAGTAGTCATTGTCACTTACCACAGCAAGTCATAGCCAAAGTTGGACTTAATATCAGACACAATGGTCCTCCAAAGATCATCAGGAGTTAGAGAGGCCCAAGTTGCAGCTTGAATGCTATTKGATAATTGTGGTTTGCTTGAAGACTTCTTTTTGGTTTTCTTCTTTTTAATAAAAACCTTTAAAAATGTTATTGAGGTACATCAATCAATTGTAAAATACAAATATAAAAAGTTATCAGTTAGACTGTAAGATTTGATACATTTAAAGAGGCTGTAAAATTATTTCTCATTAAMATTCAGCTTGGCTGATGGCTGCTGCCCTAGCCTGAGTATCAGGCTCTCTCGAAGGGKTTTAGGGCGGAGCGAGAAAGGAGAGAGAGCCTGACACAATCTTCTATCAAGAGCTGTTCCGCCTCCTTGCAATGCGTGACGCGTGACAATAAATTTAAGCCAATTAAAAGCTGTTCCGGTTTGCTTGATTTCTCGATGTGGCGGTTATATGTCAAAATTTATTTGAAAAGTCACAGCTTTTATGCCGATTTTTACCAGATTCTCAACTTGTGGACGTCTAATAAACTCTAGAGGATTGATCACTATAATCTTGAATTGTTTTACTCCGTTATAGGTCAGTGTAATGTTAGTGTTATATGAGACGTTTCCGTTAATCGGTTTGTTTTTGTACGCGTAAAAACAAAACGATTCAAGAACGGATTGATAACGTAGTAAAAAAAAGAATAAAAGACAAGCCTCTGCAATTCAACCAGGTTACTATTAAAGCTTTCCCAAACTGTTATTCACTAATATCAATAGTCATAGCGTCGTTCGGTAACATAATAATTATATATATTTTAATTCCTGTCACTTCCTTTGTCCTCTAGACCAATCAGCTTTTCGNGAAAATCTAGCTCTGAGAAACACAAGTCAATAAATCAAACTGAAAAGTGCGTGATTATTGAGCAAATGCACACAGAGCATTTTCAATCGTTCGTCTTGGAGTTGTTTTGGTGCTAATTTGCATTGTTCATTTAAGCGACTTTGTCACACTTAAAGTGAAGAATCCAGGGTAAATATTTTGAATACCCAAGAAATAAGCCTAAGAAATTGTTCCTTATATTAAACAAATACAATCTGCTTTAATATTTTTTTGAAATACGAAACGGTTTCGGCATGATCCTTATGTTTAGAAGTTTGGCGGCACAATGAGATTCATATCACTTAAGTTAATTACTAGTTTGCATGAAAAACAACTCTTTAAAGTATCAATTATCAATCTTAACAATTATGTCTCCAAGATCAAATTCATCACACACCGCACGTTAAATAAACAGATTGCAATTGCATACGAAATGCATGGATCACAGAAATCGAGCAGCGGAAAAGCACTATTTTTTTTGAAATACGAAACGGTTTCAGCATGATCCTTATGTTTAGAAGTTTGGCGGCACGATGAGATTTATATTACTCAAGTTGATTACTAGTTTGCTTTTACCTTTTGCATATGAAATGCATGGATCACGGAAATCGAGCACTGCGGAAAAGCACTTTAAAATCAAAGAAAGCTGTGTTCGCAAGTGGCAATCAAAAAGAGAAAAGTACGTCTTTTTTCCCCCTCGAAAACGTTCCTAAAACTCRGGGTGCGGCTTATCTACGAGAGCGCCTTATACATGGGTRAATACGGTATTTCTTAACCAATAAAAGTTACATGTATACTCTGTCATACAATTTGGCAATAACAATTTTAGAATAAGGGGTTACCTTGGGATTTGTATGTTTAACAATAGGGAACAAATTCATTATGTCCTCCTCTTTAAAAGTGGGATGCTTTGTACTATTAAAGTCATATTCACGAAGAAGAATTTGTACCCCTAAAAAGAAAACAATTGATATGTTATTAGATAAGCTTTGACTAACAACTTTTGGATTGTCCAAGAATTGCAGTCATCATTGCCAAAGCATGTTTGGAAGTAGGTAGTAAGTGCAGTTAATTCATTTAATAGATGCTCTTGCATCGCTTTCTTTGCCTGTATCATAGAGTGGGCATTACATGATGTCGTATTTTGTGCATGGGAATGAGGTCAGCTACAGTGTTTTATTGAAGTTGAGCCAAACKGTATAATTTTAAGATTGCAACATTCACTATTCTTCAATTAGGATTGCTGGCTTTTGCATTTTTTTGTGTAATTGGAKTCTTTGCCATGTCATACAACCCTCTTGATGTCACATGGCATCAAATTGAATAGAATAGGGTTTAGTGGCACTTCTCAGTTGAAACCCATGTACATACCAGTTTTAATGCACAAAGACCTCAATAATGAAATTTTCTGAATGCCATATCTTGCCACAGCGGCATCACAATTGTCACTAAAATAAAACAATAATAATTCTCAGCTTCTTGAGCACATGCCATTGATAAAGAAGATGAAGTTGTCCCCAAAAATACATAGGACTAAAGCATTTATTATGTTTGTAATTTTGGAATTGATTATAGCAAAACCCTGAAAGTTTTTATTTTAATCCCAAATGCGGTGTTTTTGTGTGTGTGAAACATTGAGTAATGATAAGATAATTGATTGACAGGTAATGTGAAGTACAACATAGCATTCATTTGAATGCTTTTCATATACAATATATATCTACTTAGGGTTAGGATAAAGACAGATAATATATTAGAATTAAATTAAAAGTAATCGATTGAGGTCTTGCTATACTGTATAAGAGTGTATTTATTGAGTCAGAGCTTTTGCCGACACACTTTAAAACTAGAGTAATGTCTAAATCAGCATGCAAAATGTAGAGGAAATTAGTCAAATTAGTCAAAGTTCTGCAAACAAATCTATTTTGTTCAATTCAATTTCAATTTCAATGAAATTGTATTATATAAACAAGGGAAATTAGAGAAAAATAAATACTGTTAGAGGAAGAGTGAAAGTGAATGTTGGCCAAAGGAGCGATAGCTTTCGAGTTGGCCAACATAATGATTGAAATAGTTAGGTTCATTAATAAATAAGTATAATAGTACGCTATTAGAAGAATTATTAAGTGGAAAATCTCTGAAAAACTAGAAGAAAAATAATAATAATAATAAATCATTTAACATATTATAGTAGTATTAAATAATGTCTATATAATAGAAATATAAAGTGAGAAAAAAAACTTTGAGAATTGGAAATAGGAATTATATGAATTTTCCATGATATACCGTCGAATAAGACAAAATAGACCTGTCGCATATCGTGAAAAATTTAACTWATCAAAGAAAGTTATTCTTGGGTAGATACAAGTAGATCTTTGTAAAGCCGTTTGAAGGAGTTAAATGGTTTAGATTTTATATCAATTGGATTTTTTTCCCATATTTGCGTGATTGAGAAGCTGAAAATAAATTTCCCATAATTCGTTCGTATACGTGGTCTATGAAAGATTTTTTTGAGTATCTTGTATAAAATTATAGGTGTGTAACTTAATTGCTGGTGTCAAAGACAGAATGTCACAGTTATCATTAGAATTATTATGTAAATATTTATGAGTAAGCGTTGCCGCTTTCATTTTAACTACATTTGTGATCCTTAGAATGCCCAGTAATTTGTAGTATACACTCGGGTTCTCACGCTTGTTAGCAAAAAACATACACCTAATACAGTGATTGATTTTTGTGTTGAAATCTACTTTAAGTTATAAAACATGAAGTTGAGGTTTAATGGGATCAAAATGGTGAATTTCAAAGGCCTTGGGAAAGGAAATCTTCAAATATACAATGGAATAACTATCAGTTAGCCCTTTATATCGCTTGATGTTAAGTTTATGATGTTATGTGACAAAATATCCTGTTTTGCTTTGATAATGTGACTATTTAGTCGTGAAGATGATAGTAATGATTCTACTGATAGTAATTATATCACCTTTCGGATGTTAGGTACTATAACGATAGTGTAAAAAATACATCCTCTGCATAAATTTTTGCCAAAGTTATAGATACACACWTTTAATATGCTCAGCCTAATTTAAAAAAAAATGACGAAAATAGTATCAGGCGGAACCTTAATTGGTATGAAGTCATTCTGTCCCTCTCTTACGACTATAATCCTTAGTGTTAAAACAAGAATGTTTTGGTATGACATACAGTTATTATGCCATAGGCCTATTCTCATAATTTTCAGAAATTTGTTTTATAGCTGAGGGATATTATGCAGAAAAGCATTATAACTGTCATATTATATGTTGTAAATGTTGCTATGTTTTCTATTAAGACCACAATTAGTAATGTCATTAATGTCATTTGATATCAAAACATTCTTTTTCTTTTTCAACCTTGGACCAGTGTATTTAGGGGATTTGAGAAACCAAGTACTATTCTAAGCATGTTAGTAGTCATTGTCACTTACCACAGCAAGTCATAGCCAAAGTTGGACTTAATATCAGACACAATGGTCCTCCAAAGATCATCAGGAGTTAGAGAGGCCCAAGTTGCAGCTTGAATGCTATTKGATAATTGTGGTTTGCTTGAAGACTTCTTTTTGGTTTTCTTCTTTTTAATAAAAACCTTTAAAAATGTTATTGAGGTACATCAATCAATTGTAAAATACAAATATAAAAAGTTATCAGTTAGACTGTAAGATTTGATACATTTAAAGAGGCTGTAAAATTATTTCTCATTAA